TGCTCTGTTTTCCACTGACCCCACTTTACCAAATCCAGCGGCCAAGTCTCTGCTCTTCTCTGATGTGACCACTCAGAAGCCTTTCTTTTCTTTTTTTTCTTTCCTTTTTTTAAAGATTTTATTTTTGAGTAATCTCTACACCCAACATGGGGCTTGAACTCATAACGCCGAGATCAAGAATCACATGCTGTCCCGACTGAGCCAGCTGGGCGGGTGCCCCTCTTTTTTTTCTTTTAAAAATTGAGGTAAAAAAAATTAAAAAAATAAAAATTGAGGTATACTCACATGCCCTAAAATTCACTTTTTTAAAGTGCGCAATTCAGTCGTTTTCCGTATATGCGCTAGATTGTGCAACCACCATCACCATCTAGCTCCAGAACATTTCCATCGCCCCCCAAAAGGAAACCCCTTATGCGCGGAGCAGTGACTCCTATTCCTTCCTCCCCTCCAGCCCCTGACAACCACTAATCTGCTTTCCATCTCTGTGCACCTTGTCTTTTCTTGTGGTTTTGTTTCCCCACGTGTTTGCCTATTCTGGACATCTCTTATCTATGGGATCCTACACTATGTGGTCTTCTGTGTCTGGCTTCCCTCACTCAGCATGTTTTCAAGGTTCACTCATGTAGTAGCGCATGTCTGGATTTCTTTCTTCTCTATGGCTGAATAACATTGCATTGTATGGATGCATGGTTGGGTGTCCATTCATCAGTTGGCCAACATTTGGGCTTCAGGAGCATTTTTAAAAGTCAAATTATTGAGGTATAATTCGCATACACTAAAATTTATCCTTTTGGGGGCGCCTGGGTGGCTCAGTCAGTTAAGCGCCTGTCTTTGGCTCAGGTCGTGATGTCTGGGTCCTGGGATCAAGTCCCACGTTGGGCTCCCTACTCAGCGGGGAGTCTGCTTCTCCCTCTGCCTCTGCCCCCACCCCCGCTCATGCTCTCTCTCTCAAATAAATGCATAAAAACAAAAACCCAGTACAGATAGCCATGTGCAGGTTTTTCCCCCATTTGCAACTGCAAGGTAAATTTCATTTATTTATTTTATAACCACTTTGAGATAGAATTCACGTCCTCATGGAATTCACCTATTTACAGCGTACAATTCGATGATTTTTAGTATTTTCATAGAGACGTGCAACTATCACAGCTGATTTTGGAACACTTTCATCACCCCAGAAAGAAGCCCCGTCCCCTTTAGCTATCAACCCCCAAATCCCGCTCCCCTGAACCCTAGTCAACCGCTAATCTACTTTCTGTCCATCCAGATTTGTCTGTTCTGGAAATCTCATATAAATGGAATCCTATGGTGCATGGTCTTTTGGGACTAGCTTTTTTTCACTTGACGTAGTGTTTTCCAGGTTCAGCCACATCGTAGCACAGTTCGATGCTCCATTCCTTTTTAATGGCTGAAGACTATTCCTTTTTTTTTTTTTAAATATTTTATTTATTTATTTGACAGAGAGAAGGAACACAAGCAGAAGGAGTGGGAGAGGGAGTGCAGCAGGCTTCTCGTGGAGCAGGGAGCCCGATGCGGGGCTCGATCCCAGGACCCCGGGACCATGACCTGAGCCGAAGGCAGACGCTTAACGACTGAGCCACCCAGGCGCCCCGGCTGAAGACTATTCTATTACGTGGCTATAGCATACCTTATTTATCCATTCCTCAGTGGGTGGACGCCTGACTTGTCTCCACCTTTTGGCTATTATGAATAATGCTGCTATGAACAGTCAAATCCAGGGTTTGGTCTGAACATAAATTTTCATGTCTCTTGGGCTCCCATAAAGATTTCGTCCATAAATGTTCTTTCTCCTGGGTAAACAAGGAGGAGTGGGATTGCTGAGTCATAAGGTAAGTGTAATGTTTAACTTAAGAACCTGGCTAACTGTTTTCCAGAAAAGCTGTACCATTTCGCCTTCCCACCAGCAAAGCACCGAGCTCCGGGCGCTCTGAGGGCTTGCCGGCATTAGGTATTTCTAAATGAGCCATCCCCGGGCTCGCTTTGGCAGCACACATACTAGAAATGGAACGATCCAGAGATTAGCGTGGCCCCTGAGCAAGGATGACACATCGATGAGCCATTCTGATCAGGGTGTAGTGATCTGAACAGCACTCTCCTCCTGAGCCCCCTTTTCCCCTTGATTCAATTACACTGCACTGGATGGTTTTCCTTCTTTCTCAATGGCTGTTCCTTCTCTGTTAGGCTTCGATTTCTCCTCTTCCGCCCCCGCCCTCTGTCTGCAAATCTCTTCTCTCTCTTCGCGCCTACCCCCTTGGTGACCTCAGAGACCTCCTGGCAATAAATACAATACGGTCAGTGTTCGGGTGATTTTCAAATGTCCATCCCCGGCCCGGACCTCTCTCCTGAGCTCCAGACCCACGTAACCACGGCCGCCTCAGTGGAGACCCAAGAGCGCAAACCTGACGTGTTCTTTCCACTGTCCTTGCGCTCCTGGAAAAGGAGATTCGGTGGTCCCGGACGCTCAGGCTTAATATTGGCAGCGTTCCTTGGGTTCTCTCCCAGCCTGCATCAGATTGTCAGCAAATCCTGATTCCACCTTCTAAACGTGCCCAGAAGCCGCTCATGCTTCCTTCCTTCCGTTGCCTTGCCCCCACCTTGGCCCATGCCAGCGTCCTCTCTCGCCTAGACTCTCTGAGTCACCTCCTTGGCTTCTTGGCTCCCGTCCTTGACTTCTTAAAATCAGATTCAGCAGCTCTGTCATCTCTCCTTGGCTCAGGACATTCCAGTGCTGCATTTATGGTATGACTCTGTTTCTGTGGACTGTCCAGAATAGGCAAATTCACAGAGACAGAAAGACCAGCGGGTTAGTAGATTTCTGAGAGCTAGGTAAAGGTGATGGAGGGATTGAAGGGTGATAGCTAAGGGTACTGGTTTCTTTTTGGGGTGATGAAAATATTCTAAAATTGGTAGTGGTGACAGTAACACAAGCCTGTGAATATACTGAAAACTGCTGAATTGTACATTTTAAGTGGGTGATTTGTATGGGATGTGAGTTTTATCTCAGTAAAGCTGTTACCGCCCTCCCCCCAAGCCCTCCAATAAAAACTCCTTCCTGTGGCTCTCGTCTCACCCAGAATAAACCCAGTGTCCCCACCACAGCTTGTCAGGCTCGCTGCCATCTGCTCTCCCCCTCCCCCACCTCCCACAATCCCTCTATTTTCTGAACACATCATCTCCACTCTCCCTTTTGCCCACTCTGTTCCTGCCATGCTGGCCTGCTTGCATGTTCTGCCTCAGGGCCTTTGCACCTGCTATTCCCTCTGCTTGGAACAGCTTCCCCCTAAAATCTCCCATGGTTCATTCATTCCCTCACTTCTTTCACCCTCCGCTCAGTGTTACCTCCTCCAGTGAGGCTTCCCTGACCGTCGTCTAGAACAGCAGAGCCATCTGCCAGGCTTCTCTCTCGCTGTTTTACTTGCCTCCACATCACACTTGACTTTGTGACATACTGGCTATTGACTTGCTTAATTATGCATTGCCCCATCACCCTTGGGAGACCTGTCCTGCTCACTGTGGTACCCCCACACCCCAGGGCTAAACAGTGACTGGCACATAGCAGATGCCCAAGAAACATTTGTCAAATACACAGTAAACGGAAGCTCCCTGCATCCTTCCCTCTCTGAGCTTCAGGTCTGAGTGTTCAAAGGCCTCCTGATCGCCTTTCCTGGATGACCCGCGGTATCTCGGACTCATTCTAGTGATTGAGGGTGGCGCCCTCCCAAAACACGTCTACGTCCTGGAGCTTGTGAACGTGACCCTATTTGGAAAAAGGCTCTTTGTGGATGTAATTACGTTAAAGGACCTTGAGATGAGATCCTGTAGATTATGCTGGTGGACCCTAAATCCAATGACAAGTGTGCCTATTATAAGAGAAAGGAAAGGAGGTGGAACAAGCCCAGAGCAAAGAGCCTGGGAAGACGGAGGTACTGGGGGGCTGCGGCCCCCACCCACGGCATGTCAGGAGGGAAGAGGCAAGGAAGGATCCTCCCCTAGAGTGCTGGCACCTTGATTTCAGACTTCTGGCCCCCAGGACAGCGAGGGGCTCGATTTCTCGTTTCATGCCACCCGCTTTGTGGTCCCGTGTCACAGCAGCTGCTGGAAACTCAGACACTCGCCACGTCCTGATAACCTCAGCACATTCCCCCGACCCGCTCCCATCCCCTCACCCGACTGTGGATCCGGGCCTCGCCCTGGCCCCCACCTCCGCACCCCGCAGGTGGTCAGTCGCCAATCCCTATTGGTTGAAGCTATAACCAGTTGCAGCAACAGTAAGAAAAGAACACACTGCTGTAATGGTTGTATCTATAAAGGCACTCACCTCCGCAAGCCTGCTTCCCCCATCTAAAATAATGATCAGCAAATCTGGTGCTCGCTGTCCACTTCTGTAGGCGTCCCGTGTCTCTGACCGGGCCCTGCACACAGCAGGCGCTTAATGTCTGCAGAGTGAATGTGTGCTGACTAATGCCAGGCACCTCCTAAACGTTCCCAGCATTAACTTAATCCTCAAGCACACCCTGTGAGATCAAAACTATTATCAACCCATTTTCAAGATGAAGCACTGAGGCAAAAGGACAGCCGTCCAATCTGGGGGTTAAAAACAAAGATTCTGGAGCCATCTACCCGGGCTTAGAACAAACCTGGCTTCGCCACGCTAGCTACGTGACCTTAGGCAAGTCTTTTAATCTTCCCAAGGCTCAGTGATCTCACCTGGAAAGCGGGGATACTAACGGTCCTTTCCCTGGGATCTTGTGAGGATTTGGGGAGCTAATACTTGGGAACGCTTGGTGCTGTTAGGTGTTGGCCAGAAGTCCAGGCTCAGGGGCCCTCTGGGGGCAGAAGCAGGTGCGAACGCACCCGGGTGGCCTGCCTCGCTCAGGCCAAGTAGGGTTTGTTGACCGGCTGACTGATGCACCGATGGCAGGGAGTCCCGAGTGCCCACGGTCCCTAGGGCTGACTGGCAAGGGCTCAAAAGACACGGGCCAGGCGGGGCCACAGGTTTATTGGGGGTTCCACACACGCACTCACAGCATCACATGACAATGGCATGGTTACTTGGTACACGCGAGTGGCCTCCGCCCGAAGTCTCCTCCCTGGTGGCCCAGGCCCAGCTGGGGCCTTCCTCCTGGACCGGGGAGGGAGGGCGCCGGGCGGCCCCAGCCGGAGAGGGGGCGAGCAGGGAACAAGAGGCCGGGGCGGAAGGGCTGGCCGCCCTCACTCCAGGGACTGGAGCATCAGCAGCTGCTTCAGTACCTTCGTCTGGCTGGTCTCTCGGATCTCGCCGGCCAGGAACATCTCATCCACGACCGTGTAAACCTGAGCGAAGGGAGGGCAGGACTCTGGTGAGGGAAGGGCACTCCCCACTCCCCGCCCTCCCCCTGCAACGGGTGCTGGTCTAAACCTTGGAAGCTGGGGGCCCTGAGAGCCAGGCACCAGCCATCAGCAGAGGCGCTGGGCAGCCCCCCTCCCCACCCCCTCCTCTTCCCCAGGAGCCCACCTTGTAGAAATTGAACACTAGGTCCAGTTCACAGACGTTGTGGAAATACTCATTTAAGACCTGTGGGAGAAGGCAGAGGTGGTGAGAGCCGGGCAGGGGGAGATACTCAGGGAGGGGGGCCAAGGTCACCATCGGAAAGACAGACCAAGAGGACTGAAGGGGGGGAGGGAAGGGGAGGGGGAGGGGGAGGGAAGAGACCCAGTGACGAAGATAGTTAAAGGCAGAAACAAGAACAAGGATGATCAGATAGCAACAGAAAAGACAGACCGGACAGAGGCAGAGGAACAAAGAGGAACTGCACCGGCAGAGATGGGCAGAGGGAGGCCGCCTGTCCGCTGCTGCGGGGAGGTGGGGAGAGGGTTTGTGCACCCCGCGGGGAGACAAGGCGTGGTTCTGGGCACTCCAGGGCCCCTGGGGCTGCAGCCCGCCCGCCTGCGCACCTCCACGAAGTTGTGGATGGCCTCCAGGTAGGCCAGGTTGTTGTCGTTGACATCCACGCAGATGCAGAAGTAGAGGCCGGCGTAGCGTCGGTAAATGATCTTGAAGTTCCGGAACTGCGGGGCAGAGAGGCTGTCAGCAACGGGAGGTGGGGGGCCAGGACCCAGCAGGCTGAGCAGAGCGGAGCCCAGAGAGTCAGTCCTTCACCCCACGCATGGTCCCCGAGGCCCTGCTCTGTCTGGTCCTGTGCTGGGGACACAGTGGTGACTGACACAGGCCTGGCCCTCCCCTGCCGGGGCTCCCGGTCCAGCGGAGAGAGAGTCATCCTCAGTCATCCCCAGTGGGGGCAGCTGATCCAGGAGGGCTTCCTGGAGGAGGGGACATCTGGGCTGAGACCTGGAGGAGGAGCAGGAGTGCTCCAGGCCAAGGGAACAGCTTGTGAGAAAAGCCCAGAGCCAAGAGGGAGGCTGGGGTGTTCCACGACATCCACGCTCCCCTTTCCGTGGCTCCCTGCTTGTCGTCTCTGGACAAAGTCGCATTCCTTAACCTGGAACTAACTCACGCCATCATTCCGCAAACGCTACCTGTGAGGCAGGCTCTGTGCTGGGCAGTGCAGTTACTGCTCAGAACCAAGACAATCTCAGCCTGACTTTGAGCCCAACTGCGATATACAATAGAAATACTTCGGCATTAACGCACACACACAGCCCAGGAATAAATACATATGGGCCAAGGATGCAGACTCTAATCTTACATGCGTGGGGAAGAAGATAAAGAGACAGACATAGATACAAACAGGCAGACTGGTTTGCTAAGCACAATGTCTTTGGCCCAAATCTGCAAAGTCCCAGCGCTGGGTCTGAGTGTGCGTGTGCTTTGTCGCCACCTGGTGGCAACTGCAAAAGCCAACAGTAGTCCCTGATTTTCTTCCAGCTCATTCTTCTGTTAATTTCTTTTTTTTTTTTTTAAAGATTTATTTATTTATTTGAGAGAGAGAGAATGAGAGAGAGAGTACATGAGAGAGGGGAGGGTTAGAGGGAGAAGCAGGCTCCTCGCCGAGCAGGGAGCCCGATGTGGGACTCGATCCAGGGACTCCAGGATCATGACCTGAGCCGAAGGCAGTCGCTTAACCAACTGAGCCACCCAGGCGCCCCATCTTCTGTTAATTTCTGTACTTCGACTACGTTTTCTTTTTTTTTTTTTTAAATTTTCATTTTTTAAGGAGGAAATCTATTTCTTTTTTTTTTTTTAAAGATTTTATTTATTTGAGAGAGAGAGAACGAGAGACAGAGAGCACGAGAGGGAAGAGGGCAGAGGGGGAAGCAGACCCCCCGCCGAGCAGGGAGCCCGATGCGGGACTCGATCCCGGCACTCCGGGATCATGACCTGAGCCGAAGGCAGTCGCTTAACCAACTGAGCCACCCAGGCGCCCAGGAGGAAATCTATTTCTTTTTAGAGATTTTTATTTATTTATTTATTGATTTAACAGAGAGAGAGAGAGAGACAGCGAGAGAGGGAACACAAGCAGGGGGAGTGGGAGAGGGAGAAGCAGACCTCCCGCGGAGCAGGGAGCCCGATGCGGGGCTCGATCCCAGGACCCTGGGATCATGACCTGAGCCGAAGGCAGACGCTTAACCGACTGAGCCACCCAGGCGCCCCTCAACTACGTTTTCTAACATTACTGTAGTAATTCCTGCACATAATCTGCAGATTAATAAGCATGTATCAGGGTGCAAATTCTACTTTTTTTTTTCCTTAGGTAGGCTCCACACCCAACAGAGGGCTCGAACTCGTGACCCTGAGATCAAGAGTTGTACGCTCCTCTGACAGACCCAACCAGGAGCCCCTATTTTTTTTTTTTTTTTAAATGATACAGACACACGATCAAATGTTTGAAGGCCCCTGCTCTGGAGGAGAGGGTTTAAGACAGGCCTAGAGGCCAGGAAAACATCCGAAGATTCCACCACTATCACAGCTGGTGTGGCCCTGGCAGGATCTGACGCTGAGCAGCACTCTTTTTTTTACTTGAAATTCTCCCTCTCCTGCTATCACCCTCCCGGCTCGTGCCAACACCTTGGTTGTAAATTTGCAGGCTTCTCAGGGACCCGCCCCAGACTTTCATGGCTTCTTCAGCTATAGACTCTCAGATAAGTCTCTTCCTACAGGCTGGGGCAGGTCACCTGTCTGTACTGCCCCCGCCATTGGGCCCCGTCCCCAGCCGACACTGTCCGGGAACCAGTCGGTCTCATTGGACTGTGAGTTGGGGCTGTCACCACTGTGTCCCCAGCAGGGCCTTGAACAGGAAGGGGTCCACACCCTAATCCCTGGACTCTCTGAACAGGTGACCTAACATGGCAAAGGGGACTGTGCAGGTGTGGTTAAGCTAAGGATCTTGAGATGGGGGGATCCTGGATTATCCAGATGGGCCCAGAGTAATCACAAGGGTCCCTATAAGGGAAAGAGGAAGACAGGAGAGTGTGGCTCGGCGAGAGAGATCTCAAGAAGCAGGTGAAGGCAAGGAAACAGACTCTCCCCAGAGCCTGCAGAGGGAACCCAGCCCTGCTGACCCATTTTGGACACCTGACCTCCAGAACTATTTAAGACAACAAATCTGTGTTGTTTTGAGCCACTATGTGTTTGTAGTTATTTGTTAGCACAGCAATACAGGAGCGTAATATAGGTACTAAGGGATATGTATTAATGAACAGACGAGAGGAAGAAAGTTTGGGTGGCCTGGGCCTTTCTCACTGGCCACTCATCCTTTGGTTTTGCTCTCACAAGTCCTCCTCCAGGAAGCCTTCCCTGACCTCAATCTCGTAAGAGAGACATTATTTCATGTCTCCTCCCCCTGATCATCCCCAGTTTGTTGGGGGAGGGACCAGTTCTCTCTTGTTCCCCACAGCATTCCCTCCTCCAGGAAGGCCTCCCTGACCCTCAGGCTGAGCCAGGTGCCCTCCTCCCGCCCCGCTGCTCCATTCCAGCCCTACCCTCTTGGGGTTGTCGTGATCTGGGGACAGGTCTATGTTGCTCACGGGGCCATCTTGGTCCCCACTGTGAATGGAGGCGCACTGGGAATGGGTGGTAAATAAATGCACGGGTGAACAAATGAATGAATGAATGGCCTGGGATCGGGTGACACCTAAGATCTGGGTGTCAGGCCCCTGTGTGACATTCTCACCTGACCAGCCTGCCTCGCTGACCCGCTCCCAGTCCCTCGGCACTCGGGGTAGGAGGCCACACGGCGCTGGCAGCGGGACACCCCAAGGGAGCGGGCATCCACCCCCTCATTCTGTCCTGAACCTGCTCTGCCTGCTCTCAGCCCCCAACCCCGCTCCCTGCAAGGCCCCCCATCCCGTCCTCCTCCTGGAAACCCTTTTCTCTAGGCTGCCGGGACTCCCCAGTCTCCTGATTTTCCCCTACCTCCTCACCTCCCACCTCTAGATATGGCTTCTCTTCTCTCCTTTATTCCCCTCTGTCAATCGTCCCTCCCCTGGTAAGTGCCGCAGCCTTCCCTGCCCTCTGTGTGCGGAACCTTCCTGCTCTCTCTCTGCACTCTGACTCATCACTCCCTCCCGGATTCTCCCCTGGGGTGTGAACAGATACCTCAACCTGCTCTTTCCTAAGTTGGCCCACATCCCTCCCTCTGCTGAAAACCCTCCTGAGGCTGCCACCTCACTCATAAGAGCTGAAGTCCACCCCACGGCCCAGGAGGCCCTGAGCCATCTGTCCCTGTTGTCTCTTTGACCGCATCGGCCCCCTCCCTCCACCCTGGCTTGCAGCTCCTCAGCCATGCTGGCCTTTCTTTTTTTTTTTTTTAAGATTTTATTTATTTATTTGACAGAGAGAGACAC